GAAGAAAACACTTCACAAAAATCTTTACCTTCAATTTGTGTATATCCCTTGGCAACAAGACGTGCCTTGTATTGATCGACTGTCCCATCAGCATTGCATTTGATCTTGTAGACCCATTTGGAGCCAACAGGCTTCTTTCCAGGAGGTAATGAAGTAAGTGCCCAAGTATCATTAACTTCAAGTGCCTACAACTCCTTATTCATAGCCTCAACCCATTTAACATTAGTTCATGCTTGATTATAAGTACTAGGCTCAAAAACATCAGATACATTAGCAACAAAGGATTTATATGCACTGGAAAATAGACATGTGGAATCAGAAAAACAAATAGGAGAGACAGATGTAGTACAGGTAGAAGTAGTATCAAAATCTTGCAAGTATCCAGGAAGCTTAGTGGATCTGGTGCTACGTCTGAGAAGTGGTTGAGGTGGTGGTAAAGAAGACAAAGGAGAAGATGATGAATGATTAGAGGAACTTGAAGAGACTGGTGACTGAAAAGGAGGTGATGATACAAGAGATGAAGAAATGTTGTAAGGAATAGAAGATGGAAAAATAGACCTGTCTTCTAGTGGAAAACTGAGTAAGGGAGTTATAGGGTTTTGTGAATCAGAGGCAATGCCAGGAAAAATATCTTCATGAAAGAGGACATCATGAGAAGTGATGATTTTGTCAAGAAAGGGACGGTAAATCTTATAACCTTTCTGCATTGGAGGATAACCAACAAAGATGCCAGAAAAAGACCTGGGATCAAATTTATCATGACATGGACCATTATTTACAGCATAAACTTGACAACCAAAAACACGTAATAGGGACAAGTCTGGTTTCTGTTGATAAAGGATTTGAAAGGGTGATTTCCATTGTAAAAGTGGTGTAGGAATTCTATTTATGAGATAAGTAGCTGTAAGTAAGGATTCCCCCCAAATTTTTTTTGGCAACTTCGACTGCAAGAAAAGAGATCTTGCAACCTGTAAAAGGTGACGATGTTTACGCTCAACAAACCCATTTTGTTGAGGCGTATAGGGGCATGATCGCTGATGAATTATACCAGCATCAACAAAAAACTGATTACACTGTGTATTAAGAAATTCAGTGCCACTGTCACTGCGAATGACTTCTACTTTGGCCTGAAATTGAGTTTGTATCATTTTCAGAAAATTGATTAACAAAGACAGAACAATTGACTTAGAAGAAAAAAGAATGGTCCAAGTACTTCTACTATGATCGTCAACAATAGTCAGGAAAAATTGACAATCACTGAGAGTTTCATGTCGATAAGGCCCCCATATATAACATGAAGCATTTCAAAACAGGCTTTAGTTTGTATAGAACTGAGAGGAAAAATATTTCGACGTTGTTTTGCAAGTGGACAAATACCACAGTTTTCTATATCTGTTTTCGCAGCTTCTAAAGATGTGCATGAAATAGACGAATCAGCTATAATGTGCTTCATTACAGGTAAGGCAGGGTGACCTAATCTGCTATGTAAAAGCTGAGGATTTATAGTCACATTACAGGCATCAAACACCTGTTTACATGAAGACTGAGGTTTACAAGAAAAATCATTATGTAACATATATGATGCATACAGTTCATGAGACTTAACAATAGCTTGTGGAGTAAATAAAGCTTCATCCAAAACATATAATTCTCTGATGACTTTGCCAGCTGCCAGGACCCTTCCTATTGTAAGGTCCTATAGCAAGCAAAAATCAGCATAAAATTGGAAGAAAAGGTTTGACACTTTGGCTAGTTTACGTACGGAAAGTAAATTGTATTTGAATCCAGGAACATGCATACATGATGTAAGAGTAAGCTGTTCAGAAACAAAAGCATCACCAAAATGTGTCACATATTTGATGCTTTCATCAGGCAATAAAATGGGGGTTAAACGATTAGCAGATGTAATATTATTCATGAGTGACAAATCAGTGCACATATGACCCGTTGCTCCTGTATCTGTGATCCATGCCCTAGAACCAATATAATCACAAGCAACTGAACTAAGTTTAGTAATGGTTGAGCTACCTGCAAAATCATGGAAGTGAACCATGTTGGCAGAAGAACTTTCCGGGAGATCTCCTGCAATTCCTTTGCCCTTAGTGATCCTTTCAAACTCCTGTTGCATCATCATCCTCATCATTGCTTGCAGTTGTTCTGTATTGGCCATGCTTGTTTCAGCTTCAAGAGGAGAATCTTCAACTACATTGGCCACATTGAAACCTTGTCCTTGCCTTCTGAGTGGCTTATCTGGATAACCATTTAGTTTAAAACAATCCTTTTTCTCATGTCCTTCTCTCTGACAGTATGAACATTTCTTGACAGGTTTATCCTCCCATCTTTAATTTGTCTAGTCCTGTGACAGTATGTGCATAGCAGAGTACTTTTATCTTCCTTCTGCAATTTACTAGTAGATGCAGTAGAAGTCTTTTGCCAATCAGATGTTCTAACAACCATAGCTACATTCTCTTCACGTGCCACCATATTGGTACTGACTTGCCTGTGAGTTTCTGCTTTCAACAATCTGTTATACACTTCTTCCTCACAAGGAATAGGATCCATGAAAAGAATCTGGTTCTTCTCATGCTCATAAATTTCATTCAGTCCCATAAGCAATTCCATGGATCTATCTTCCACCTCTCGAGTCCTCAACAAATTTCCAATTTCTCCATCTACAACAGGATTTAGCCTGAGTTGCTCAAACTGATCCCAAAGCTGTTTGAGTCTACCATAGTAGTTTGAGATTGAAGAATCTCCCGGCTTAATCAGTGCTATTTCACGTTTCAACTCAAATAATTGTGGCGCAGAAGTTGTGCCATAACGTTTTTCTAACTGTCTCCATAAATTTCTTGCATCATGAACAAACATAAATATTCTAGCTAGATCTGGCATCATTGAACTCTAAATCCATGAACAAACTAAACTGTTAGCTCGATTCCATCTAATACTCTTAAGTGTGCCTTCTGGTGGTTTCCGAAAGTTTCCATCAATGAAACCTAGTTTCATTTTAGCTTCTAAAGCAGGAATCATGGCATTCTTCCAGAGCAAAAAATTCTTTTCCTTCAGTAAAATTGAGACAAGAGGAGTTCCTGGATTTTCAGAACCATGTACCTGCAATTGCTTTTCAATTAATGCATCCAGCTCTCTTCTTATTTCTTCGTTCATAACTTCTCGCCGAAGAATTGCTTCATTCATCTTGAATTATCCTTCTGACGCTTCTCCAACTTCAATTGAAATCCTAAAAACAAAAGAGCCCCAAATTTTATACGGCAATTACGATCAGATTGCTTGGTGGAAGGAACAGAGCAGGATTAAACATGCTCTGATACCATAAAGAAGCTGCAAGGATCGATCATTGATAGTAGAATTAAGGAAGAAATTTATTCTGAATTGAAAAAAAAAAAGGGTAAAACTGAAATTGACGAGAGAGAGAAGAACAAAGCTGCTTGGTTAAGCAAAAAGAAGTCTGAAATATTCTGTCCTAGTTTTTTAATCTGTTTCAAGTATATATATGTAAGACTTGGTCAATATAACTGACTAAGATTTTTATTTACACAATGAGGACTTATATTGGAATATTTTAGGTGATTGCTGAATCATAGTCTTCCCGCTTGTGGTCACGTGATTTGTGATCTTCCAAGCTGGTAGAATGATAACCTGGAAACACATGACAAAAAACTATATGCTCATGCTGCTCTCATGATGCTGTGAGTTTTTTCCATCCAAAGCTTGATCACTCTTTATTGTTAGTCAGATTAACATATATACAATTACTTGAGTTTTTTTATATATAGGAGAAAATACAAGTTTTGCTGGACTTTTGGAGCTTCTGAATTGATTCGTTAGTCGTTACCATTAGAATTTCGGATTAGAAAATCGAAATTGCAAAGCATTCGTGACTCATTTTCAGCGAGATTTTGACCATGAAACCATCCAACGATCATATGTGTCAGTCTCCAGTTTAAGGTCAAATAACCTTGACCAATTTTTTTAAGTTTGTTTATATAGTTTGTATCAACTATGACTTGTATCCAGCTTTTGTTATGCCCTCGTGTACCTTCGGGGACATCCCATAAACTCTGTGCAACATATTTATAAATTTTAATTTATTTCATTTAATGTTTATAATATGTCTACCGTCTGCATCGATCACTTATTAATGTTTCTAATTAACCAATTGGCGTAAGCTTTCTTCTTCCTCTTTTTTGTTTTTTTTAAAAAAATAACTACTCAAAAAGATGAATAAGAACAAAGTTGATTTCTAACGTAACATGGCGTCTTGATTAATTTCATCTGATCCTTTGATTTTTAAACTTTTAAGACTTGCATTATTCATTTTGGTGAATTATTATTATTATTATTATTATTATTATTATTATTATTAGTAGTAGAAATTGAACATCTAACTCAACACAAAATGATAACGAGTGCGGATTAACATATATATCTTATACTCCCTATATCACAGAAAAATAGTCAGCATCAATTATAAATTGTGAATTGTATGAAAAAATAGTACAATTCTCAAATTACAATATGCACTATTTTTGTGAAACAGATGAAATATCCGCCTAGGAGAATGATTCTCACTACTATGCACGCAGTTTCTCCAAACTGATTTAATTCATCTAACGTATTAATTTTTCTTGTATGGTGAGAGCTGCTTCATTTATCTTGTGTTCAACGGTAAACTATGACAAACACGGTTTTATTTTTAATGTACCAGAGGCCTATTTATATGATGGATAACTGTTTCCAAATAAAAGTTTCAATGCTGCGATCAGCTTCTAATTAAATGATGTAGAACAATGCAACTTTTTATTTAATGTTTACAATTTCATAACAAAGATCCATCATCAAACTCATAAAAGAATGAGGAACTACAACAAAGATAAGATTACAATTAAAATCCAATTCTAAGACACTGAGACAAACTGACACTTGACATCGAATTCTAATCATCAAATAGAAATCTTGTGACACCCCATAACGAAGATGCATTAGTGAAGAGATGGGAAGCTCTGTTCATACTTGAAGAAATTTGTAGGATCAACCAAAGTTTTCACTTTGACTAGCCTGTCAAAATTGTCCTTGAAATATGGCACACCCCATTTTCTTGCTTGTTGAATGCTGGTTCTACCAAAAGCATTATTAACTCCCAAATCATGATCACGATAATCAGCATATTGAGCTCTAGGGTTATCCGGGACGTATTTTCCAAGTATTTCAGCAACCCCTCTTACCCAATCTACACGTGATTGAGCCACTGAAGAAGTATCATTCCCATTCCAATATACAATCTGGCGCATGATCATCAACTTGCCTCTATGAGGAAACGGGATTTCGGATTCCGGGATCTCGTCCATGATCCCTCCTCCGAAAACCGACCATCCTAATTGTGTTGTAAATGGTGGAACTTTCTCAAGCTCATCGAATATCTTTGATATACCTTCTGGAGGGATAGTGTCTTGTGCGAAATCAACTTTCCATTTGAAATAAGGCTTTCCAAGAGGTGATCCTCTTGTTGTTAAGAAATCCTTCACACTTTTTGGTGTTTGATCAACCAAGAAAGGATACGCATCGATAAAAGGCATTTCTTGGCAATCATCTTTTGTCATGTTTAACTCAGGGAAGAACTGATCAAAGATCGAAACTAGTTCATCAACTGAGCCGTGATGCGCCGTCAAGAACTCGGCGTAACTGGTTAGGTTTCCGGTTTGAGCCGAAATGATTCGTCGAAACTCAACATCAAGAGTAAGATCAACTGGCAATTTACGGGCAATTTGTTGCCATTTGTAAACCAGTTGGACTGCGTTTTGTTCGGGAGTTCGAATGACGCGAGAAACCGCGACCGTTTTCGGGACGTCAACAAGTCTGATTTTGAAGGAAAGAATGACTCCAAAGTTAGCACCAACTCCACCTCTTATTGCCCAAAATAAGTCCTCTCCCATGGATTTCCGATCAAGGATTCTCCCGTTGGCGTCGATTATTCGAGCGTCGAGGATGTTATCCGCGGCAAGTCCGTGTTGCCTAACCAAACGGCCATATCCTCCGCCGCTAATGTGCCCTCCAACCCCGACCGTCGGCCAAGTACCGGCCGGAAATGCGAGCGTATCATTTGCGGCATTAATGCCATAATACACTTGACCTAAAGATAAGCCAACGCCAATCCATGCACTTTTGTTTTTGGAATCAACAGAGAGGGTTTGGAAGTTGAACATGTCAAGTACGAAAAAGGGTACTTGAGAAATGTAAGAACTGCCCTCAAAGTCATGCCCTCCACTCCTTATTCTCATCTCCAAACGGTGTTTTTTACCGCAGGAAATCGCGGACTGAATATGCGATTCGTTAGTTGGTCGGAGAATGGCTTTTGGTTTTGGGGTCTGAGGGTTTTCCCAACGGGCGTTTTGGATCAAGAAATCCAAAACGGTAAGAAACTGTGTGTTTTTGGGTGTGTAAATTACGTTTGAAATTGTGGGATCACGTTTTAGAAGGCAGCTAACAAATAGTTTCCCATCTGGGTCGTCTTGGGCTGCAAATGCAAGTGATGAAAATGTTGTAATTAGGGAAAGAGCAAAGAGGAAACGAAGGTTGATCATATTGTTTATAAGCTTCACAATGATCAATTCGTAGTGGAAAAGTTTGTTTGGATGATTTAATGGGACTGAAGGTTGGATGAAATTAACGAACTATTAGCTTCGATATTTATAGAAACTCCATTTTGACCTAATCAATACTTTAATGCAATTGTTCAAACTGTCCAAACTGCAACCTAATGAGCTGCACAATTCAACTGTAGAGTTACACGACTTGTTAATGTAACCTAATGAGCATTTCAATTCAACTTTGCCTCAATTTTTACGAAATTTCTTATTCTTACACAGTACGTTGCTAATCTCTTGTCTGATTGATAATGTATCGGTTTTACGTTTTGTATTTTGTATAACAATTATTTAAAAAAAGAAATCGATAGATTTTCAATCATATATGTTGGAGGTTTGGGCGCCACGTATGAGTTCTTACATGGAATTTTTAAATACAAAAACTTGTCTCTAGTACTCCCTCTTATCTTTGTTATAAGCCATTTTGATTTCGTCTTAGATTTTACCTAAGATGTCTTTCTAATTGAGATAAAAACATTAAAAACATTTCATAATAATTATGAAAAAAACACGAATGTGAAAATATATTTTTAAGATTTTTGTTTTCCAATTAAAAAGACATCCTAAGTTAAATTTAGGACGGAATCAAAATGCCTTATGATAAGGACCAGAGGGAGTATATTGTGTTATTTACTTTTATTAGACACAAAAGTACTTCAAAACTTGTGAAAATCTAGTTTCATAAGTGTGTGCAATCGTGCCCGTGTTATGGATTTTTTTGGGGGTGGTGGTGTTAGAATTTATAATTAAATTAATTAAATTAGAAGAATATTAAATTAATACGAATAAAAACACTAAAAGAAAGTAAAATGATGTGTTAGAGAAATTCAAACCGAGTTGTAAGGCAATTAGTGCACTACATCCCTTGTGTATGACCGCTATCATAGTCTTTGCCATAAGGCGATTGATTCATCTATGTCAAATTTGTACTTTTATTCTCAATTGGACCTAATATTACTTCGTACTTCATCAACTATGTGTAAAGACTGACATTGCAATGTAAACGTCTATTACCATTTGATCCAAAACGTGTATTCCCGTTGTGTCCATTGGTGAAATTTCCACACGAGAAGGATTCTCCGAAGAAAAACTAGTTCATTCGGAAGATTAGTTTTTGGCATAACGAAATATCTAGATCGAAAGTGTGGACAGTACATAAATTGACAGATTTTCAACTGAATTGTTTTGTAAGGTTGTCAACCAGAAGACCTTGGTGTTCAGAACACTTGGATGCATAGTTGAATCAAAACTTGGTTACAGAATAGTACGTGTATATTTAATTTTGAGATTTGTATTATTAAGTAGACTTTTTTTTTAGCGGAGTGAGTAATACTTAACGTTAGACTTTCCACCTCCTAACTCAGATGGAGAGAAAGAAAATATCAGTCAACGGATCTGCAGTCTATCAGCGAAGACCCTTCACGAATTAGTCAAATTTACCGAATTTAATCATACCATCTCATTGAAGTAAATATGCCCCTAAATTCGTCAAAACTCTAATCTTAAACATTTCAAACTAACAGGTTGAATTGAAATATTCAACGCAACCCTAATCCCCACATTTTCAAGTGATTTCTTACTCAACAACCAGCAAGTGCATTTCCACTGCCGGTTGAAAACTGAGCAGGCAAAACTTTCCATCAGAGGATTCTGTGGAAGCGATATGAATTAATGGAACAATTCGATCAACTCGAATATATATATATATATATATATATATATATATATATATATATACTCCCTCTATCTGTCATCCCAAAATTCATGTTTTACTAAAAATAAAAATTTAAACCGAATAATTATTTCAGAGACTGATAAAGTACGTGTACTAGCAATATCAATGCCCATGAGAAAAGATAGTTACGCGTATTCGCTCTTGTGCATATTATTCAATCAGATTTGGTTACTTAAAATTTTAGTGGGTTTTTCCAATCTGGTTTTGTGGATTTTTTTTATTTTTTCCGTCGTTGATAAATACAGTTATTTTGACTTAACCTATTCGTAGATAGCAAGCTTTAGAAGAGTTCAATGGATTGTTCATGCTCAGTTTTCTGTGTATTAGTTCGATTTTGACCTCAATAGGTTATTAATTCAATAAGTTTCGAATTACCTTACTTATCTAGTGCTTTATGTTAATTTATTTAAACATAAAAACTATGGTCATTACTCTTAAACCCTCGATCAACATTCTACCCCCACTTCATACTCAAATTCAGATTCTGCTCTCAAACCAAACAAGTTTATCTCTAATCGAGAAACCAACCAACCAAGCAACAATGGCCTTTGATACATTTTCTTAAGAAAAGTATACTACGTTTCTGTGGACTAAAATATTAATTACCACAAAGTTACCTACATTTCTGATAAAGAGGATGCTTAATTTATCCAATAAATATCTAAAACTCCTATGTAGATCTTTAGTAGCTAGCATATATACTCAGTTAAAGCCTACCTCAAATCACCAAAACAATAAAAATAAAAAGAAAACTAAAATACTAGTCATAGTCATAGGTAAAGATAAAGAAATCTTACTTATAAAGTTCTCCATATATTTACAAAAACATTTATCATCAATAATCTACCCAATCTCAATATTATATAGGTAAGTATCCCTAGTCAAGAAGGTTTCTGGATAATAACTATTGACTTGCTTGAGCTCCAAGCTAGGAACTTAATTTACTTGTCAACTATATATACAATTATACAATTTTATTTTATTTTTTATTGTAGAATTCTTGTGTTATTGTCTTACTTTCCTTCGATCTACGTTATTTGATGACTAAGAGATGTGTTTATAATTAAGTTGCGACTACAAAATTCAGAGCAATATTTTTTGTAACACTTTTCGTGCTTATGTTTTCATTAACCTTAAATTTCATAAGATCTTTATGTATTATTATCGCCACATAAATATTGTTAGTGAATACCTGATTTATCGAAGTGTGTAATCTATGACTAACCTCGTCTTCAATCAAGAAGCGCAATTGAATTAGTAACAGAAGAACCCGCGCAATTTTATTTGTTTTTTTCAAAATCTTCTTTTTTGCAACATTGTGTGCAGGTTGTATCTGAATCTTATGATGGACATATTTCTGTAGCGTGATTTTTATTTTCTCTATTCGAAAATTATAATTGAAAATGGTGAGAATTGGACCATATATATGGAATACAATGTTAGCGGAAATTCCACATTATAACGTTTTGATAAGTTCATTGTAATGGAATGGAGCTATTCAACTGGAAAATTATAGAATATAGATTAGTTAGCCATATATTTGGGAGTAAACGCATAAGAAAACGCGAGTCCACTCTTGATCAGTTTTCTAGATGTCAAGCATATACTTACAGGTCGGAAATTCTCTTCTTCTTCTTCTTTAATGCAGCCAATTTGGATTATAGAATCAGACATTCTATGATTTGCGAAGCGTTTTCACTTTTCACCATCATTTGGACAATTTGACCAAGCAAAACGTTCGATGATTTATGTTTTGTTATATAGGTTTAAGGTCAAAAAAAAAAACTTGACATTCTTTGGATTTTGTAATTTTTTTAAGCAATGGAGAATTAGAAACTACCAAAGTATACATACATACATACATATATACATATGTTAACATATATGTTTGAAAGCAATACATATTCAAAGAAGAAATATTGTTTGAAATTTGAAAATATATACATTTATTGTTAATATATATTTCCTCTTTGAAGTTTCTTGTTAATATATAGTAGTTCTTGTTAGAAAACTGGCAATTCTTTTTTTAAGTCTATTTTTCTTTTTCTTTCTTTTTCTTTTTTTTTTTAAATTTTTGTTGGTATACAAGTTTTCTGCAAAATAATAATAATAATTATCATTATTAATTATTATTAAACGACACCTTTAATTTAATTATACCTGCTAAAATCTAAACTCGACGTTTGTTGTTGAATGAGTAAATTTCCTTACAATTTAGAAACTTGTCTGTTTGTGTACCAGATATGACATCATCGAGAGGATAATATCGATAATGATACTCCGCGCGAAAGATCAGCTTGAAATATCGACGCAAATGACCTGTCCTCTAACTTGTCCACTTCATGTCAGATTTTGTATTTTTTTTTATTTTATCACCATTTTTTTTAAATCATCAAAATCCATTAAAAAGAAAAAAAGAAACTCTTTTCGCCTTCGAGTCTTCAACGTTGTTAGGATCGATTCTCCATTCTCCACCTGAAAATCTTTTTCCCACCATTCTATTAAGGTACAATTCAACAACGGATAGAAGGTACATGCAAATCATAGATTGTGATTCTCTCTTTCTCCCAGCTAGGGTTGTGCAAATTATCATCCCAATTTGACTCAAGCATCAAATTCTCTTCCGAAATCTCTAAAAAAAATTGCATATAATTGGTGCGCGATGTTCCTGGCCAAAACAATGGTGGGATGACCCGCAACTCATATGTTCGCTTGGTCTCGATTCTGAAATTTCCAGTGCCAACTATACTTATGTGTGAATTGAATTAATTCTTAGTCTCCTCTTTGTGTGGGATATAGAGCTAATTGTAAATTTGTTGTTATTATTTTGATTTAGCAAATGGAAAATCGATTTCTTTGTGTATTCCTGGAAAATTGATTTAATAGCTTCAGCATCATCCATGTCTTAAAATCGAGATTTGCCGCTTGAGTCATACAAAAGATTTGCAGAACCTGAAGGCCTGAACCCCAACGAGGACGAAGGTAGAATTGTCTGGATATTTGAAAGTTGCTTTTACCAATATGTTGCATTGAAGATTGATTGATGATAGCAATCCGTGACAAAAGCAATTTTAAAGAAAGATCAACTTTGCTAATTCGGAAAGACAGAAATTTGTAGACAGCGGAATTTGGAGAACTCGGATAACTAAAGACACATAAACACGCGAAAACAAAGAAAGAAGAGATATTTGACCTCACGTGG